TTCTGTAGGAAGTGTAAGACCTGTAGAGTAAAAAAGCTGGTAATTGCACTCTTTATGCCACACCATATTTGCACAAATGTTCATCAAACCTATATTTTCAGTAAAACCTAAAATAAATTTAATGCACACAAGTATAGTATAATATTCAGTTATTGTTTTTGCGGTTTAAAGTAAATTCCCAAGCTGAAATTGTGTGTTTTTGTTGCCTGGTTGGTTCAGCAGCAAATGAATTTTCACATTTACACACATACATTTTCTTCATCATTCAGTTTGTAGCATTTACCCTTTTCATATATTTTATAGCTATATTCTGCACAACTATATCTATAATTGTTCTCCAAGTCTTATAAAAACAGAGGGCTCCCCTCTAATTGAGATCAGTGTGAGTTCCATGCAGATTGGCCGGTCTAGGAATGAAGCTCTTTTCAGTTGTTATTGCTATCTGCTCATGAAAGCCCTCCTGTGGTGATCAGTAAACCTTGGCTGCTGAACCATTTCCTCCGCTGTCTTCATATGCAGAGCTAGGTGGTTACTGTTCTCTTATTGTAGGCTTTTCTTTCACATTGCAGCTCCTTTCATTCACTCCATCGTTTCCATGGCCAAAACCACCTGCAAGACATCAGAACTTTACCAACACACATCATTTTAACAACAGGCGTGGTCTGCTCATTTCACATGCAAAGTATCTTTTCCAATCACATCCAGACCTACTTCACATATACTCCATCCTAATTCCTAGTCCTAGAACACAGAAAACACCAGCTTTACCCAAACCAAGGCTTCAAACACAGTTCATTAATCGCCTATAGACTGAAAGTAAAAATTCGGTGTAAAACAAATACAAGAATATCTTTTTTTCCAATATATTTTCTGGTTAAAAAACATTTTTTTTGCATTTTTAGCAGGTGATAGAAGAGAAAGTGTGAGAAAGAGAGGGGAGAGAGAGGGAGAGAGAGAGAGAGAGAGAGAGAGAGAGAGAGAGCGCGAGGAGAGCCAGACAGAGGAGAGAGAAGAGAAAGAGAGGAGAGAGGAGGTTGGAGAGGAGAGAGAGAAAAGAGAAGAGAAAGGGAGGAGAGAGAAATGAGAAAGTGTGAGGACAGGAGAGAGAGTATGAGAAAGACAGGAGAGATAGAGAAGAGAAAGATAGGACAGAGAGTGTTAAAGAGGAGACAGAAAAGAGAGGAGAGAGAGAAGAGAGGAAAGAGAGTGAGAAAGAGAGGAGAGGCAGAAAAGAAAGGAAGAAGAGAGGAGAGAGTGTGAGAAAGACAGGAGAGATAAGAGAAAGATAGGACAGAGAGTGTTAAAGAAGAGACATAAAAGAGAGAGAGAGGGGATAAAAAGTGTGAGAAAGGAGAGAGGGAAAAGAGGAAAGAGAGTGTGAGAAAGAGAGGAGAGGAAGAAGAGAAAGGAGAGAGAAGAGAGAGTGTGAGGACAGGAGAGAGAGAGAGAGAGAGAGAGAGAGAGAGAGAGAGAAAGAGAGAGGAGAAAGAGAGGATAGAGAGTGTTGAAGAGGACAGAGAGAAGAATGAGAAAGGATAAAAAGTGAGGGAGAGAATAGAGTACAAGAGAGGAGAGAGTTGAGAAGAGAGAGAGAGAGAGGAATGTGAGAAGGTCCAGAGAGGATAAAAAGTGTGAGAGAGGAGAGAGAAAAGAGAGGAGAGTGTGGAAAGGACAAGAAAGAGAGTGTGAGAAACAGAGGAGAGAGAAGAGAAAGAGAGGATAGAGAGCGTTGTAGAGCACAGAGAGAAGAAAGAGAAAGGATACAAAGTGAGGGAGAGAATAGAGTACAAGAGAGGAGAGAGTTGAGAAGAGAGAGAGGAATGTGAGAAGGTGAAGAGAGAGAAAAGAGAGAGAGGGGACAGAGAGAAGAGAGAGAGAGAGAGTAAGAAACTGAAAAAAAGAAAAACAGGAGAGAGAACGTATAGAAGAGGGGGAGAGAAAGAGAGAGAGAGAGAGAGAGAGAGAGAGAGAGAGGGGAGGCGAAAAATGTGAGGACATGAGGCAGAAGAGAGAGAGAGAGAGAGAGAGCAGAAAGAGTTAGAAAAGGAGGAGTGAATGAGAGACAGAGAGGAGAGGTAGAAGGAGAAAATATACATTGTTACAGCTCCCATGCTGTTGTTTCAATATTATTTTTCTTTTAGATTTCAGAAAGAAGTGTATATAACAGGAAGAACAAATACAACAAAATAGTTATAATGTAATTGTACAGTTTGGTGCTATACTATATGCGGCCGAAACTGTATCTTAATAACATACAGATGTTGTATTTGTAATTGTAAAAAAGCCTATACGATTGTAGGGACAATTGTATGTCCTTCCGCTAATATAACATTCTTCATGGTATTTAGTAAAAGAGAAAGGTCACAGTGTTAGTTCATTACCAGTTATTAAGAGAGCGAATATTACTTGCTTGAAGTTGACACATATATTAGATGAGACAGAAACACCCGTACATTATCTATCTATCTATCTATCTATCTATCTATCTATCTATGTATTGATCGATCGATCTGCTATTTATCTCCAAGTGCAGATGACTGCCTGACAGAGCTGGGTGTCTTCAAGGAAGTGCCCAGTGTCCACTCATCCACTTATAAGATAAAGAAAGGGAGTGAAAGAATTCCTTCAGAGAAAATGGTCAACTGCAAGACAACTCACAGATCATCAACCAGGCAGTTTATCATAACTGTTCCCGGCAGTCACCTCTGGCTATAAGCTTCTCCTAACAGATCAGTGGGTTTATATTACTTTATTTTATTTGATAGATGCTACATAAATCGTACTTATGTCACTGTTTTTGGGTCCTTATGAACAGAGGGCTCCCCTAATTGAGATCAGTGTGAGTTCCATGCAGATTGGCCGGTTCAGGAATGAAGCTCTTTTCAGTTGTTATTCTTATCTGCTCATGAAAGCCCTCCTGTGGTGATCAGTAAACCTTGGCTGCTGAACCATTTCCTCCGCTGTCTTCATATGCAGAGCTAGGTGGTTACTGTTCTCTTATTGTAGGCTTTTCTTTCACATTGCAGCTCCTTTCATTCACTCCATCGTTTCCATGGCCAAAACCACCTGCAAGACATCAGAACTTTACCAACACACATCATTTTAACAACAGGCGTTGTCTGCTCACTTCACATGCAAAGTATCTGTTCCATTCACATCCAGACCTACTTCACATATACTCCATCCTAATTCCTAGTCCTAGAACACAGAAAACACCAGCTGTACCCAAAACAAGGCTTCAAACACAGACTGCAAGCAGTTCATAACTGCTTATCATATTATTATTATAATTACTATTACCACTATACTCTTTAGACTGAAAATTATTTTTTTGTGTAACACTAATACACGTATAATACATTTTATGAAGGGAAAAAATATACTGACAGTCTTCATGACATTCGTTAGCAAGTG